AGTCGAAACGTCGCGATCTACATCTCAAGTGACTACATCGTGAGACAAAGGATAATACACTTTATTATTATAACAGAGTTGCTAGTATACAGAAATCACTACTGAACAATGAAATACTTGTGAGTACAATTAATCAAAGTATAATTAAGCTTAGGAATAAAGTAATGAATAAAAAAATTAAATCAACGAGCAAACGAAAATGAGAACGCACGAATAATTACAAAACTAGCAAAACAGCCATATTTTGTGTTCCGAGAACTTCGTCGAATCCTTGCCATGCTCTCCATCACACTTATTACTTTAATTTACTCGCTACTCCTAGAAAGAGTTTTAATTGCTGTAAGAACAACTGGAAGAACAAATTTCCGAAACAGGATGTTCAGAGAAATAAACCAATAATAATTTCTTTTTATTAAGCGTAGCGTGACATATAATACATGTATCGTGACAAGGAATGTTTACATTCCCGAAGAACTTGAACTTTAATAGCCGACTGTTCATGGGTAACGTTTCAGCACGAACGCCATCTTAGAGCGGAAACGAAAATACAGTTACAATCAACCAAGAAAAATAAACACAGCGTCTCTCTTATCAACACTCTGTCGTGCTACTTGAATTGATCTACCAACTGAAAGCGAAAAACATCGACAAAAGTAAGATATGGACAATACTGCAAGACACGCTTCTGCGCTGATGCCTTGATGATGAATTTTAAAATAACAGTAGTAGCAGCTTTAACGATAAAATTGTGGCCGTCTTCAGCTTAATTTAAAGTCTAAGATTCTTGAATGCAGCGCCGGAGCTATGAAAATATAATCTGGCAATAAGTACTTGATTGCGAGTTAACTGAGACAGGTTTACTATTCCTTAAGTATACACTTTAAAGGAATCTGTCTCTAGAAAATCTATAGACTGGTCGAGTCTTAAGATTACAATCCAAACTCAGCTGAGGTAGTAACACCATTCTTACCTGTAAGAGGAAGGAAAATAAGAGCAAGTGCCAGGAACCAGACATTATTTGCAGCAACTTCCGCCATGATTCATTCGCCCGATAATTTATTTACAAACTGAGCTGGAAGTTTTTATAACGATAACCCAGAGAATTATGGGTATCAGGATTATGGTCCCACCCCCTGCTAGGTAAGTTGCCCTTATGCAATAATCTAAATTTACTTCAAAACTAGGGACTGAAAATAAAAATGAAAAAAGAGAGCGCGTTTAGGACGCACTATAAACCACAAATTTTACTTAGGGTAAAAATTGACTCGAGCAAAATCTTCAAAAACACAATGAGGCTTACTGTTTAAATTAACAGCTATTCTAAATGCTTAGTATATTTACTCTACTATTCTAAAATAGAGCAAAAAATCTACTACAAAACTTTGTTTATATTTATGATTTATACCATGCCATAGGAAATATAGCCAATCAGCAGAAAACAGGAAAGCTGTTGAATACTCCACGATGTTTCACTCGACCTTCCCATTGCGTGCTGCATTGTGTTGGCCACGGTACTTTCTATGGCATGGTATAAAGTAGTTAAGCAATACTTTCTCGTGGGATACCGTGGATTATTCCTCTTGTAACTTGTATTTTCTTGGTATACACACTTGCCTAAAGGTTTGTGTGAAAACAGAGAAATTGACTCGTGGGATTTTCCATGGTACACCACTCAAAAGCGTTGCAAAACCAGTACAGGTTTTACTAAAATGAGTTTGAAAAAAAATATGCCATGGGTGTGATTTCACTCACATCCTCCGCCTGTATACTAGTCAGGACTTGAACCACAACATCATTCGGACAATAATGCTCGCATTGTGACTCTAGCAGAGGTGATTGGTGCGGCTTCCTTATGAGCCTACCGTAATATCTCTCAGTTTTCGGTGGTAAGTTAATGAACTTATAATTACGGAACTAATTACTTAGAACTGAGAATTTATAACCACGTTCAGTTTGTATTCCATCCAAGGACACGACGTTAGGTGAACTGCGGTTACGAGGAATGGGAACACTTTTTAAATAGTTGTGTAAGAATCTAATT